TTGGTCGATAGCCAACAGGATATCACTTCGACTAAGCCAGAGACGGCGTAAACTGTCATATTGCAAGCCTTCTATATCCGTATTGAGATTTCGTCAGTCATCAAACCACTCGCCGATACAACTACCCAAATAACAAGTGAAGTGGTCAACACGCTCCATCAACCACTTAACTCCCTATTTCTCAGCTAGGCGTGAGTCAGTGTAGTCCAGTCCTGTAGCATCATATTACATTTGACAGAGGGAGCGAATCGCATGCCAAACATTCGCAGATGTGCATGAACTCAAAATGGGATCAACTTAAAGGATAACGCTCCAGGAGTGCGAACGCATCAATGACCCTGAAAGCATACTAGTCGTTGGATCAGAGTTACGGTTATGATTAGGGTTAAGCTGTTTGATTTTTATTATCTGCTGTTTCCTGGTGAATAGTTGTTGATCCCCTTACTAGAACCCATACTAATTCAATCGATGGTTTCTAGAAAAGACTTAAAAAGTGGATAAAAGCGATAAGTCGGTGTTGAAAATAACACATCTTCAGTCGCTTCAATGAATACGTGTACGGTAACTGGTTTAACCTATAAACTGATACTCCTCATTATAATCGGGGAGGGGGGTGGGTGATATTTTTAAGTCACCTCAAGGAGAAAATATCCATATGTAATGTGTTTTCTGTCATTATTTTCTTTATTTCTCTTGTAATTAAGCGTCATTTTTATGTTAAAATCACTGGTTCTTCTGATTGGTCACTTCAAGGTCAGTTGTACGTTTTCAATTCATGGATTGTTATAGTATAATTTTGCCTAAAATGTTACGCTGACAAAAAGCCTTATTATAAATAGGGAGGACATGAATGCAATACAATACAACCTCCTAAAACGTATATGCTAGTGTAACTACAAAAGACTAGGGCCAGGGAATAGATCCTTTATTGAGGAAATCGACACATATTTATAGATTTTCATGTACATTATTGTAGATTATCGTTAGCAGAAAAACACAGTCTTCTGATTGGTTGTTTCTCACAGAAAGTTAACCTTGTATCTCTATGTTTCTTGGATGTCAGATCATCTATATGTTAACTGTATTCGCCTACGCAAAGTCTTTGTTCTCATTTTTCTCACGACTAATATTGGGGACATGAACATTGACGTAGATTACTGTCCACCAATTTTGGTTAACGGCCGGCTCTCACCACACTAGTTTCATTTTACTTTCTATAGATATCACAAAGAAACATATTCATGTTTTTCTATATAATTAAGTGTATGTATTCAACAGGCTTTTTATGTGTACCAGTGTTGTGAGAGCTGGCTGTTAACCAAAATTGGTGGACAGTAATCTACGTCAATGTTCATGTCCCCAATATTAGTCGTGAGAAAAATGAGAACAAAGACTTTGCGTAGGCGAATACAGTTAACATATAGATGATCTGACATTCAAGAAACATAGAGATACAAGGTTAACTTTTTGTGAGGAACAACCAATCAGAAGACTGCGTTTTTCTGCTAACGATAATCTACAATAATGTACATGAAAATCTATAAATATGTGTCGATTTCCTCAATAAAGAATCTGTTCCCTGGCCCTAGTTTCTGTTGTTAAACCAGTAAGCTATCAAAGCAGCTGCTGGAATCTCAATGAGCAACAGCACCACAATAACTGACTGACTGGTTGGCTGATTTCAACATAGAACTTTGCACAGATGTGCAGCACTCCCAGTTGCCACACTCCCTCCATGTAGCACACAAAGCAAGAGAAAAGAGTAAAGAGGGATAATAAACAGAAGTGAGTGAGGAAAAAAGCATAGTAATAGGGAAAAACAGTAGAATTTTATTGGATATGAGTGACAAATCACAAAGAGTGAATGCATCTGCGCCAGTCATCTTCAACAATGAGCTTCTTGCAACCTGAGGACCACAACCAGTCTGGGAGTCTACAACTGCCTAAGCGGTTAATCTGTTGAAGACTTTACAGATTAATGGCATGTTTTGGTTTGACCGCCACCAGTTCTTTCCCAGCCTGATCCTTTGTCAGCTAACATTGTCCGTCAGTCGAGGGAGGCGATGGATAGACATGCATCCTTAACACATTTCCTAACCATCTCAATCAATGTAACTTCACAGCCTCATAGATTAATTCCCCTCCTTACCTAGCAATAACTTCAATATTGCTCACTCTATTATACCACTAGATACACGGCAAATAGAACGCAGACACCTATGATCAATGTCAGCCAGCCGGCCTTTTCATGTCTCGCAGTCATAAAGGAGGACAGAGCGAACTGCTCACCGACGTGTTCCGGGATCGAATTCGTGGCTGATGTACTCCTACATCTCTTTAAATTTAAAGTACGCCCGGAAAAGAGGAAAGGTGTGTGAGGCTAGCAACCCCACCACCCCGTGAAAATAACACAAGTGCTACTGAAATTCCAAAGCTTGAAGTCTTATATGCCACTTCGAACTCAAAAAAAAATGGAAAGACTCAGTACACTAATGTTGTGGTGAGAGCTGTCTGCTAGCCAGAATAGGCAGACAGCAATTTGCGTCTATATTTACGGCCCATATCTTGGTCATGAGAAAAAACAAGAACAAAGCCTAACCTTGAGGGACTCAACAACCAATCACAGCAGACTTAGCATGGGCAGATACGATTCGCAGACATATGGTCTGGCCTTGAAAGAAATGGCCACAAAGAGATGACAGAATAACAGAATAGATGGGAGCCTAAGAAGATCAATCCATAGAAAACCTATGTGGAATGGTCAACTAATAAGCTTATATAGCTGGATACCCATTCAACAAAAACGGAATTTAATTAAATCACTTGCCACCCGCATCCGACGCATCTGTAGTCCCGACGTTCTGGAAACAGAATTAGATATTCTAAGAGAAATCTTCATCCAAAATGGATACCCAATAAGATTCATCGACAAAAATATCAAACCAATAATTCGGAGAAAAGAAACTTTAATTGTGCCTAAAAAAGAAACCCTACATGAACTTGGATTTGAAGGGAGATTTAACAAGCGATATTCTCAAGAGAAGGATCATATCATCTCTGAGAAGAACATTCTTTGCAGAAACGCTACGAATAGTGTTCTCTAGTCGCCCACTGATCTGCAGAAGCCTCAAGGACAAGATCCCGTATCTGACCACTTCTATGTGCATATATCAGTTTACCTGCTGCTGTGGAGCCAGCCTAGTACATCGCTGGTTCGACGTACAGCCTGTCCAAGAGGATTCAAGAACACTATGCAGCATGGCTGCGAAAAGACAATAGTGATGCAATGAGGAGTGAGGTAATTGAACACCTGATTAACACTGATCATTCCATTTCAACAAACGCCTTCTGCTTCAAAGTAATGTACAGAGTCAAGAATAGCCTATGAAAGGCGATACGGTTCCGTCTCCTTTTTATCGCTGAAGCTCTGGCCATTCACATAGAAAAACCGGAGCTGTGTATACAAAAAGGGATTACTCAACCTCTTCTACTGTCATGGTAACAACTTTTTTTTATTTGATTTTGATGACTTAATTTTGTTTCTTTGCCAGTTCTTTAATTGCTTATAATTCTTGTATTCATTTAGAAATCTTAAGTAATTTCGTATTATCTACTTTGTTCCTATGTGCATCCTGAGTTAAAACTCACTCATCAAACTATTCATATTATTATTACATAACTTCTTTTAACAACTGTTTGTGACAACTCATCACCTTTGTTACTACCCTAGTTTCATTAACACCTAATTTTCTTGACTTGTATATTACCAACCATCACCTGTTTAGTTAAAATAAACATAACCAATTGTAATTTTGTTTGACAAACTTAATGTACACATACATACATACAAAATGACACATATATATTTCTGTCTGTCTGGATTCAACATAGAACTTGGCACCGAAGTGCACCAGTTCGAGTTGCCACGTTCCAAATAGCACACAGAGGTAGACAAGAAGATGAGTGAAGAGAATCAATACAGTCTGACAAGTATAAGAGTGAAACAGAATGGGTAATGGTAGAAAGGAATATGAAAGATTACAGAGACTGAATACATCTGCGCTGGCCATTGACAACGATTTTGAGCCATGTCACCTATTGTCTCCAGCCATTGATTCCTAGAGTCCCGAGGGCCCCAACCCGGGAGTCTGCATCTCCCTACCTGACCGACTCAGTTTAACTGTCAAGGATTTCATGGATTGATGAGGCCATGTTTTTGTTTGGCCACCACTTACCCTTTTTCCAACCTGCACCTATATCAGCTAGTAATGCCCGTCGGGGGAGGCGATGGTTAGGCATGCGCAGCACGTCACCTATCCATCTCTCTCAATCTATGTAACTTTATAGCCTCGTCGATTGATTTTCCCTCTTTGCCCAACACTCTACGCCTAACGTCAACATTACTTACCTTATTAAACCACCTAACGTGAGACAGAGATCGCAGACATCTATGGTCGAAAGCAGTCAACCTTTTCATGTCTTCAACTCGTATTGGCCATGTTTCAGAGCCATAGACAAGGACGGAGCGAACTGATGAGCAGTACACACGTCCCTTGGTTGATAACCGGATGTCACGCCTACGCCAGAGATGGTGTAAGTCAGCGAAAGCAGCTCGAGCTTTTCGGATCCGTGCTGAGATTTCATCGCCAATCAGTCCGTTGGTGCTAATACAACTTCCCAAATAGGTGAAGTGGTCAAACATATATATTTGCGATTGTACAGCTAAGAAGATGAATTCGCTGTCGAAAATAGACTCTTCACTGATCTACGTGTTTTGTTTTCATTAATGCCCCCTGGATGAGGATTATCCATGAAAAGAATAACTTTCAGCAAGCAAAACAACCAATCAGAAGACGTTGCTGCTTCTCTGCTAACAATAACGCTGATAATAATGTACATAAAAAGTCTATAAATATCTGTTGATTTTCTCAATAAACGATCCATTACCTGGCCCTTGTCTTCTGTTGTTACAATACGATTAAGTAAAAACACCGTTTATTAGGCTCTTTTGATGCATGAATTATAATTTTATCATTATTATTATTATTATTAACACATTTTAATATGTACAAGAGATGTGTGTTTATTTCAAATAATTAATTACATGAAACAACAACAACAACATCATCATCATTATTATTAATCATCGTTTTGTGGTGCACGTATCGATCGATTACTTCCGGGTGGACGTCGTCTAAATACAATACGAGCAGGATTACTACTGCTTGACTGTTCAACTTTACAACCATTGTCTTCACTTTTCTTAATACTACTGCCTCCGCCACCAAGACAACTTCCAGGATGAATTACTTTTTCTACCGGGTTGAACAATGAGGTATTTTCAATCGATTTTTCTGTGGCTTCTTCTAAATGTGCTATTACAGATAATTTTTCATTGAGTACTGGATTCTGTGAATAGACAACATCATTGGTAATGATAGGCAGATCAAGTTTTGGTAATTTTGGTTTAGTAGGACTTTATAAAAAAAAAGAGAAGAAAAACAAACACAAACTACTTTTGATATCGTCTTAATTACAATGAAATAAATATAAACTGGTGTGAACTTTTATAGATAACAAAAGATTGAAGTGTTTAAATTTCTATCTTTTTCCCAGATATGACATATAATGTTGACCTGTCAATTAGAAAAAACTGTCCGCACTAAGCAATGACATCATGCACTAGTCAGGTATCGAGTGGAACTCGGGTGGCAAACAAGAGGTCAAGTGTTGGTTTGTAGAGATTCGACTGATTGACTGCAGGATTTTATCATGAGCTAGCTGACATTAGTTAGAAAACCATTGGAAAACCTGACAGGGAGTACTGCCAGACAACTGTTTCGTCAGTCTACTTTGGGACTCTTCAGCAGTACGCACCCACCACAACCGGTTCGAACCCCTGGACCGACCTTCTGGTTACAAGACTAGTGACCTCGTAGACCATTAAGCCACTGGGACCCGATCCAATGACCAGTCCATGAATTATAACTTCTGCCAATTCACGACATAGCACGGCCATTAGCCATCGGGTCGGTTCCCAGTCGCTTAATGGTCTACGAAGTCGCTAGTCTTGTAACCGCACGGTCCAGGAGTTCGAACCGGCTGTGGTGGGTGCGTACTGCTGAAGAGTCCCAAAGTAGGCTGACGAAACAGTTGTCTGGCAGTACTCCCTGTCAGGTTTTCCAATGGTTTCCTAACTAATGTCAGCTCATGATAAAATCCTGCAAACAAGAGATCAGTTGGGCGTGGCTTCAAAGGTGATATGAAGGAGAACATGTAGCGAGGTGGATGTGAAGCTAGTGAATGATCATAGAGCCATCTAAAAAGGAATGCAGAGAACAAAGTGGAGTGGGGGTATGCTGTTGTTTGATTGGACTCTAGCCAATAACTAGTGTAATGTGTCTTCTAGTCATTTGTTTGGTGCAGACTAAATTCTATCAGTCAGCCAGGCTTGCAATGTCACCACTAATGCTAGGTGGTGGCTCATCATCACAGTGCACTTTGAATTGTTGGTATTAGATGGTTAGAAGAAATCGGCAGGAAGCCTTGGACCTAGGGTTTTGTGCTAGTTGGCACTGATCAGCAAGGCGTATCTGCAACCTTGAAGGAACTCATGTCCCTTCTGAGATTCGAACCCGCGTCACCCAGTGGGGCTGCAGTCAGAGACGTTACCACTGAGCTATTCGGACTCACGATTGACCTCCTGTAGGACTGTATTGGATGCTTTGATCAGACAATAGATAGTAACTAGTGTGATGTGTCTAGCCCTTTATTCAATGCAGACTGACCCCGAATACCTCAATGGCAACGTCTCTGACTTGAGCAGCACTCGGTGACGCAGGTCTGAATCTCAGAAAGGACATGAATTCCTTCAAAGTTGCAGATACGCCTGTCCTGCTGACTGGTTATCGTAAACTAGCATGAAACCTAGGTCAAGTAAGGCTATCTGATGATTTCCTTCAACCATCTAACAAGTGACATTTACAGCATGCCAACACACCTCAATGAGTAGTTCAGAAGACTCTGCTCTACTTTGTCAGCGTTTCCACCTAGAAGGACTATATCGTCTGCATATTCTAAGTCAACGAGATTATTCCCTAGTGGTAGCAAGTCAATCCCTGAGTCTTAACACAGTAAACAATAATTAGATTCTACTCCAATTCGGAAAGTTATTACAGTGATTGAGCAACGTCGATCGATGCACAACTGTACTTGTTTTTTTAGAAAAACAATGTTTATTTATTACACTATACACTACCAATATTGATTGATTGATTGATTGATATGAGTAGGTGTATACTGATCACATCAACTAGCTTACTAGCCAGGTGTCGAAATCAACTAAACACCAGACAGCTGTTTCACTCGTTCGACGTCGAGTTCACCGACGGTGTAACCGGTTTGATTCATCTCAGAGAGCTGAATCCGCTTAAAACACCCGATTTCTCACCAGTTATTTAGGTGAACTAAGAGCCAATCGCTCAATAAATATGTAGGAAAAAATAGAGATGGATCGGGCATACATAAACCGCGAGCAATGCACGCTATCGCTCGAGTGGAATCCAAATGCGAAGCGATAGACGAGCGGGTCGTCAATACGAGGGTGACATGAAGGAGATCATGCGTCGGGGAGGAGGAAGAGATGAGAGATTATAGTCGACCGTATGTGGCTAGGCATTTGAAGAAGACAACAGAAAACAGAACAAAGTGGAGATGTGTTGTTGAAGCCAGTCCTATGTTCCACTCAGAACTCAAGGGAATAATAATAATAATAATATACTTGGGTGGTGGTATATATAACTACTCATCTCAACCAATTAGTAGTATGTAGGGCTACACATTTACACTTGTTTTCTTGACTACCATTCAGATCACAGACCTGAATAATTTCTGTTTCCAAAAGAAACCTACAGTGAAATTTCACCCTCCCGAAACTGTGTAAATTACAAACTACGAATTTGTTTGTTTATTTATAACTTAATAATAAATCTGATAAATTAATCAGGAAGTATGTATGGAAATATAAAATAAATAATGATAGTAGTGACAGTGATAATAATAATAATAATGACGACGTGCATGTCAAACATGCACAGGATAATGACAACACCAGCAATAAGCAATCTAAATCATCAGTAGTAATTCCATACAAAGAAGGAACCTCGGAAACCTTACGCAGAATTGCTCAACAAGGCAAGAATTAAAGTGGCTGAAATTCAAACCCACCCACAAACTCAATTAGAAACATGCTTTGTCGGTTAAATGGTGGATTCTCTGGAGCTCACTAAACAAAACAATTTAGTTTATCTAATACTCTGCCCGCGATGATTGTCAGGTCAAATACATGGGTCAAAATAGTAGAACAAGGGCAGTCAGACTAGCTGAGTATAAAAACCCAGGAGTAAAATCTAGATTATCTGAGCCGAATAAGAAAAGAAATCCAGAGAATAGTTCAGCTATACCACTGTAACAACAGAAGACAAGGGCCAGGCAACAGATCCTTTTATTATGAAAATCAACACGTATTTATACATATTTCAACTACATTATTATAGACAAGCGCAGTCATCTGATTGGTTGTTTTTAGGTAGACAAACGCAGGCTTCTGATTGGTTGTTTCGGGATTCCTTGACAAATAGAGTTCTCTATCTGCGAATCATATTTTGCCACGTTAACTTTGCTGTGATTGGTTGTTGACTCAGCCTTGTTCATATTTTCTCACGGCCCATATTAGTGACCTAGACCTTAACGTAGATTAGTGCCAACCAATCGGCTAGCAGCCTGCTCTCACCACACTCGTCCCCCCGTCAAATACGTGCGACTGAAGTCGGCTTGATCTACTTGGTGCAGGCGTCATCGTTGGCTTGTCTCGCTGTATCCATTTCTGGAGCTCGCTGACGTTCACGCGCCTCTCATTGTTCGCCATTGCTACTGTGTCTGCGTAACCCCATCTCGAAGTGACCATATATGGTCCTTCCCACTTTGGAAACTGTTTGCCTGACCCTGTCGAACATTCGTCCATACTTCGGCCCACACCTTCATATGCTGCTTTCGCCCGACCTCCCAGCAGCGTCTCAAGTAGCAGCTCCATCGCTGACAGATCTTGAACGCCACCCAACTGCGTAGAAGCCTTGAAGTCCTGCCGAAGATCCATATGTCTCCATCAAAAACTGCAGGGTATAGGCTTTTCATTTGTCGGTAGGCAGCGACACCAAATGTAACAACAGAAGACAAGGGCCAGGCAACAGATCCTTTTATTATGAAAATCAACACGTATTTATACATATTTCAACTACATTATTATAGACAAGCGCAGTCATCTGATTGGTTGTTTTTAGGTAGACAAACGCAGGCTTCTGATTGGTTGTTTCGGGATTCCTTGACAAATAGAGTTCTCTATCTGCGAATCATATTTTGCCACGTTAACTTTGCTGTGATTGGTTGTTGACTCAGCCTTGTTCATATTTTCTCACGGCCCATATTAGTGACCTAGACCTTAACGTAGATTAGTGCCAACCAATCGGCTAGCAGCCTGCTCTCACCACACCACTACACCACATGCAATTACACACAACCATACAATACAGGATTGGATGAGATGACAGTTTTAAAATCTAATCTAATATAACAGGGTGGAGGGAGAGATGGATAACGGAAACTTTATTTATCGAATCAACTAAAGAGAACATGCGTAATAGGAATGATTCAACACCTGTCCACCCAAATATCTGGAAAATTCTAATACCACGCCGACGACGACAAATAGGAGGAAAGAACAAAGAAAACTATAAAATTCAAGTATCGAAGTCGTGTGTGAGTATAATTGATGAAATGATTATGAACAATGAATAAATTGTGTTCGCAACTTTGTCATCCATGAAATACTAATACTGCTTCACTGACTGTGTGTGTGATATATCTAATAAACAAACTAATATGGAATTACATCTGTCTATATTCAGTGCAGTGTACATTGAACTCAGCTTCTCCTTCTGTTTTCTCTTGTGCATCTTTGCATTAAGTCATCTTTTTCACCATCCTCCCCTCCTCTCCTCTCCTCTCCTCAATTAGCTTCCAGGTAGGTATCCGTTGACAGCCATTCCCTGTCTTGTCTCTTCCTTCTTCCTAGAACACTTGTGCACGTTTCCTTAAATATTGTCTTCAGAGAGTTAGTCGCAATGTTCTTCCACGCAAGTTTCTTCAGTGATGCAAAGTAGTGTGTCCGACTTTACTGTGATCTGATTGATCTGTAGCGAAGGCGCATCCCTTGCAGTTTTGTCCTTCAGTTTCTGAATGTTGAACATTGAATTGATATAAGATGGTAATAGTTACTTTCTTTGCCTACCCCGTACAAATATGTACACATTAACAAGGATTGATTACGTAGATTATATAAACACTTGAGTGAATTTATACGTTTTATGATAATAGTCGTTATTATTATTATTATTCAAGGCACTCTATTCAAACTCATGT